GTGCTGCAGCTCCTTGGACCACACCCAGAGCAGCCAGGCTCTGGTGAAGTGTGACCTGAGCATTGCATATCAAAACGCACCTTGATGGATTTCTGTATTTCTTTCTGTTATAATTAGGGCAGCATTAACTGTTTAGAATTGTGTATTGACTAGTTCCTTTGCTTTCATGGAGGATCTATGAGGTGTTAGTAAATCTTTGTTTTAAGGAATGGGATTGGTCTGAGGGGGTTGAGAGCCACTGTCTTGCCAGGGAGGTCGCTGCCCTAAGGCTCAGGAGCCTTCTGTGGCTCCCCTCTGCCTGCAGAGAAGTCCTGACCCCTTGGCTTGGCGCAGAGGCTCATTCCACCTGCCTCTGTTTACTTTGCTCTACTCCCAGTTTGAATCTCACCTTATAGCAAATTGGTTTTTCTCTTCCTGTCATCACTACAAAGACCTTCATATCCTCACAGAAAATGCTGTAATTATTGGGCGGCCTGCCTGATATTTACACACACACACACACACACACACACACACACACGCATATAATATAAACATGTATATAATATATATATTTAAGGAATGGAGCCTCACTTTGTCCCCCAGGCTGGAGTTCAGTGGTGTGATCTTGGCTCACTGCAGCCTCGACCTCCTGAACTCTCATGATCTTCCCACCTCAGCCTCCCAGGTAGCTGGGACCACTGGTGTGTGCCACCATGACTGGCTAATTTTTGCATTTTTCGCAGAGATGGGATCTCGCCATGTTGCCCAGGCTGGTCTCAAACGCCTGAGCTCAGGTAATCAGCCTGCCTTGGCCTCCCAAACTGCTAGGATTATAGGCCTGAGCTACCAGATAATTTTTTAAATGTTTTTAATCTGCAGAGTTAAACTAAATGATGGTATTAGTGGTGGGATTTCCTCCCAGAATTCACTGTAGCTGAGAAGTCATATCTCGTGGTTGTACTGCATTATGGCGGGCTGTGGCCTGGAGTGACACATCCCTTGGTCTGATGGGTGGGCAGTGACATGTCCCCCGGGCCTCTGGTACAACCTGAATAGTTGGTTGATCTTGGTATTTGGCCTGAGCATTCTGACTTCCACACTGACAGGCACTCCCTGGACCTCTGGAGTTGAGCGGCGTCTGTGTGAACTGGCCCAGGCCTAGCCGCATCCTGGTGCAGCCCCTGCACCTCCCCGCTGCACACCTGGCCATCTAGGGCCTTCTGGCTGCTGCTGCGCTCACTCGAGTGCCCTGTGATTTTCCAGAGCAGAGTCTGACAGCTGTGCAGAGCAGGCAGGCCCCTGTTGAGCTTCGTGCTTTGTCCTTGTGTCGAGTTTCCCTGGGGTCAGCCCTCCTGTGCGGTCAGGCGTCTTGCGGGATGAGCTCCGTGGCCTGGTGTAGTCCCTGTTGCTGCAATCTGTCTGCGCCCCTTTCCGGATGGCTGACTTGACAGAAATAACTGGACTCCAGTGATCACTTGGAAGGACAGATTGTGTTGTGTCAACATAACCGAAATAAGATTGTAATGGAACAGGAGGTGGGGCGGCTGCCAGCCTGCGGCCACAGCTCTCACCCGGCAAGCCCTGTCCTTCCCGTCCTTGCTCTTCGTCAGTGTCTTTCCCCTACCCCTTTCCATTTGTAAACATTCGCTGGTGAATTTTCTTTTCTCTCCATCTAGAGTCGTAGGATGTTGAGAGCTCAGAAGGGGGAATTTACAGATGATCCAGTCCAATTCCTTTAACTTACAGATGAGAACTGAAGATGTTGCTTCAGTTATTTGTAACACAAACTGAGTCTTTTATTATAGTTTGCCTTTTTCCTTCACAGCTCAGGCAGTGTTGGTTTTGTTGAGAGTCCCTCTCAGAGAGACTCTCCCAGAGTCCCTGTGCGTTCCTCTGATGGAGTTTTGATTTCCCCATAGCATGTAACCATATAGCAAGACATTTTCCTTAAAAACCTATTTATTCTTGCCATTCTAGGTAGTCACCCTGGACAATTGGAGAGCTCGTCTAAAGAAACAAAATTCTCTGGAGGAAACTGCAGAATTTTCCTCATTATTATTGTATCATTGACAATTTTCACTTAAATTCTTACCAGTCCTTGGTCCTGCCCGGCAGGCAAGCATCAAATGTCCCAGCTCACTCTGGAGGCCCATAGACCATGAGGCAAAGGAGATGAGCCGCTGTTGGGTTTTTCTTCTGTTTTTAGCTCCTACCCCGCTGCTGGTTTTCTCTGTCATTACTAGTAGGAGTCCCTGGGCTGCTTCCTGCTGCATCTCAGCTCCTCATCCCTGGCCCTGACTGAAAGGAGGACAAAGGTCCTTGTCTCCTAGGCCCATTTGCAGTGAAGACAGGTGTTCCTGACTCCGCTGGTCATAATCACAAAGTAATTGATAAATCAGTGTTTTAACTCTGGCCAGGCATGGTGGCTCATGCCTGGAATCCCAACATTTTAGAAGGCCAAGGTGGGCGAATCGCTTGAGGTCGGGAGTTGGAGACCAGCCTGGCCAGCGTGGTGAAACTTGTCTCTACTAAAATTACAGAAAGTAGCCCAGCTTAGTGGTATGCACCCGTAGTCCCAGCTACTCAGGAGGCTGAGGCAGGAGAATCGCTTGAACTGGGAGGCAGAGACTGCAATGATCTGAGATCTTGCCACTGTACTTCAGCCTGGGCAATAGAGTGAGACTCCATCTCGACAAAATAAAAATAAATAAATACCTGTTTTAATTGTGGCCACTACACTACAGCCTGGGCAACATAGTGAGACCCCATCTCTTAAAAAAAAAAAAGCCAGTAATGAGTATGTGTTGAAATAATAATTATATATATTGAGCGAAATAAAATATTAACATGAAATTTACCTGTTTAATTCTACTTTTTTTTGATGTGCCTACTAGAAAATTTAAATGCTATTTGCAGCTTCCATTGTGCTTCCATCAGGGCAGCCCTGGCCTAGATCTGGAATCAGCAGCTCCCTGGGCACAGCTCTGCAGGAGATCTCCAGTGACTCACTCATCTTGTTCCTGTTTCTTTCTCCAAAGAACTAAAATACGCCTCTTTGCTGGTTGTGTTCATTAGTGGAGCCACTCTGGGTACTCCTCTCTGGAGCCTACTGGATTTAGGATGCAGTTTGCCCACTAGTAGGGGATCCTTGGGCCACAACTGAGAGGAGATGCAGGCGTTCCAGTAGCCCGGGGGTTCGGAAGTGGAATACACCGACAAGGCTGGAGCCTGCACGGCCCCACTGGAAAGAGCTTTGCCAAGTAGCAGCTACCTTCCCTCAGCTGGTGTCTCCACCCTGTCTGCTTCTTGAGCTTCACTTTGAGTACCTTCAGTGCTTCCAGTTAGAGAAGGATTTGGGGTAATAGCATGCCTGTTATTGAAAAGAAGGGATGAGGCTTCCTGATGAGTAGGGCTTATCAAAAGGTGTGTGATGACGGAGCAGCCCTTTAGAGCCACCTGGCTACCCAACCACATTGTATCCCCATTCCTGTATCGTGACTGCTGACTGAGCTCTGATGGTCACCAGCCTCACTGGGTCTCGGTTTACCTCTCTGCCACAGGGCAGGGTCCTGACCTTTTTTTTTTTTTTTTTTTTTTGAGGCGGAGTTTTGCTCGTTACCCAGGCTGGAGTACAATGGCGCGATCTCGGCTTAACGCAACCTCCACCTCCTGGATTCAAGCAATTCTCCTGCCTCAGCCTCCTGAGTAGCTGGGATTACAGGCACGCACCACTATGCCCAGCTAATTTTTTGTATTTTTAGTACAGATGGGGTTTCACCATGTTGACCAGGATGGTCTCGATCTTTTGACCTCGTGATCCACCCGCCTCGGCCTCCCAAAGTGCTGGGATTACAGGCATGAGCCACTGCGCCCGGCCAGGGTCCTGACCTTTAAGGTCACTGTCAGGCTCTCATGCCTGCACAGGGCATAGCACAGTCAGTGTAAAATGCAGTGGTCAGTGTGGAGGCCCAGGGCCCCCGTCCTGTCTCCTGTGTTGTGCCCCTGCCACATCCTCACTGCAAAGGAAGCTTTTTCCTCTAGGCTTCAGTTCTTGGTTCCAGTTGACTGCAAGCTCCAGTTCCTTTGTAGAGTCACATCACATCTCTGCACCTGTTTTCTCTCTGTTAAAGTGGAGACGACTGTAGTGGCTCTCTTGCGGGGCTGCTGTAGGTTGCAGTGAGGTGACACCCAGCATGGCTCGGCATATTACATAGTACGCGGAAAGCTGAGAACACAGGCGTCGCCAGTAGCAGCTCTTGGCCCACCTGCAGTTGTGTGGTTGTGTGGATTAGCCCCCGTCAGTCTTTCCTTTCAGAGGCTGGCGAAGACCCAAGCCAGAGGACCCAGGGTTTTGGTTGGGACATGGTTGGTGGTGGAGATGGTGATTGTGAGAAGTGGAGCTGTGGTGGGGTGGGAGTAGGGGACAGAGAGGATGGTGCTATCAGCAGGTGAGGGTGTAAGGATGGGACGGCAGGGAGGTGTGAGCCCTGCACTGGGCCCTGGCCAAGGCCAGCCAGTGTCGAAGGGCCAGTGTTCACCCCTTTCCCCGTGTCTTGCACAGTCCCCTCCTGGCTTCTGGCTGAGATGAACATGGCATAGGCAGGTACATGGGGTGGACTGGCCTCTGGCATTGCCTGGACCTGAAAACCCATGGTGACTTTGTTTCCATGGAATACGGCGCTGTGTCCAGACAACTGAATTCTACCTTACCTTATTCATAAACTAGGGATTGTCTGATTTTGGTTTGTGTGGTCAGGCTTCTTGAGTTTGTTAGAATAGATAATGCGGGTTATTATTTTATAAAGGGTGACATTGACTAACATAGAATGTCCTCATGGATGAACAAGGGTATTGGCTGAATGTGGAGAAGTCAGTGAAATCTCCACAGTGACAGACGCCCTCTGGAGATGGGGCCAAGGCTAGGTGTGCACCTCCCCTGCCAGCCATCAGCAACCTGCCCCTGTCTGTCGCTTTGTTACTTCTTGATTTTAAATTTCTGCAAATGTTTCTTGTTACAGAGTACGGTGTTTGTGAAAACTTGCGGAAGCTGGAGATCACAGGCGTATCTTGTCGGGACGTCTACGCGAAGTGTGAGTGAATCTGTTCGTCATCATCCATGATTAACTTTGTACCAAAAGCAGACAGTGCACATCAATCATAAATAATAAAAGTGATTTAGTCCACACTTTTGTTTTCTCAGACACCGTCTTACAGTCACATTTTGAATACAGCACCTGTAGTAGTAGCACTGAAATTGCAGCGGGGGCGCTCTGTTCTCCCATTCTGGGCGTTGTCGATACAAGTGTCTTTTATTAGGCACCTTGAAGCTCTTTAGATCTGAGAAATGTGAGCTGCACCAGAGCGATTTGGCTGGTCCTGGAGCTGCCTATTTCTCTCCCTTCTGGGCCTCCAGCTTTCAGGATGGGACTGGCCATGGTAATTGGGAAATTAAGCTGTGGCGCCTTCCATCCAAGCCCCCAGGTACGCAGAGGCGGCCCCCCTGCTGGAGTTCTCCTTCCCCTCAGTGTTCTGTGAGCAGGATGAGCCCCCCTAGCCCTGTTTCATGTTTCTCCAGTTCCCTGCTTTACAGTCACCGGCAACACTCACTGAACAGGCAGAGGCTTCTTGGCCCAGGCTGTCTTCCTGAGGGCATTGCCTTAGTGCCAGGGACTTCCCCATTTCTCACTCATTGGACAAAGCTCTTGGTTTTTTTTGAATGGTCAGAGGGTTTTTTTGAGTGTCTTATACCACAAGTTTTCATATTCTGACTGTTCTTTGAGTTTCTTTTCTTTTTCTTTTCTACAAGGCAGATGCTCTTTGAGTTTCTTAGGCCATTTGGCCCATATCATTTCAAAGTGACATGAAGACATACTTCTAAGAGTTTTAAGCACCAGAAGTCACATCCTGGTAGGGACACAGGTGTTAGGGTTTTCTTTAACACCCAGAGGAGTGTACACATGGATGCTCCTCTCAGCTGCGGGGGTCAGGGGTGTTGCCTGGTCACTGCATCCTGCTGTCCGGTGGGAGAGGCCATCTGGGCACAGGTGAGCAGGAGGTGATGTGGCTGAGGGCAGGGCAGGGGGGTGGGGACAGAAGGAGGGGATAGGAGGACAGGGCATTGGGAGATTCTTTTCACTGCTGATTCTTAACGCCTTGAAGGTGTTTGCAAAATGCAGAGAATTCACATCATCTGTTATTTAGTTTCCCTTGGTGTGTATTGCCCCCAGTGTTTAGTCTGCATTGGCCAAAGCAAATTTCAGGGTTCATTTTCACAACACAGGAATTATGCTTTTCTGTGAATTTGCTTTAAGGCTTATCCAGGAGAAAATTACTTAGCTTTGGGAACAGCTGGTGGAAGAAATTCACTCTTAGCTCCATAAATGGATGGCGTAGTTGGCCAGCCTTGGTTGAGCTGTGTGAGGCTGGCCTGAGTTAGCAGGCTGGGAAGTGTCAGGTGGGTGCTGGGCAAGGTGAGTGTCTTAGTTGTAGAAGGGTTCTCTAGACCAGGCGTCCCCAAACTTTTTACACAGGGGGCCAGTTCACGGTCCCTCAGACCGTTGGAGGGCCGCCACATACTGTGCTCCTCTCACTGACCACCAATGAAAGAGGTGCCCCTTCCTGAAGTGCGGCGGGGGGCCGGATAAATGGCCTCAGGGGGCAGCATGCGGCCCTCGGGCCTTAGTTTGGGGACGCCTGCTCTAGACGGTCATCCAGATACTCACTGGCCAGGACACCTGCCCTCCTACCTCCTGAGCCCCAGCAAGCTGTGGCTGGGGGCCTGCGGAGAGTGTGCTGGCCACGGGAGGAGCATGATTGATCGGGTGTGGAATGAATTCCCAAGCTTGCTGCCACCATGAGTTTCTGCTGGGACCACTGTTGGAAGGAAAAAGTGTTACAGTGTTCTTTCCAGCAGGCTTCTCAGAGCCTGCCTCCCTGTGTCCTGGGTGGCTGCATAAACACGGGGATTATATCACACTGTTGAAGGGCGGGCATTGGGTCATATTAACGCTGTTTGCACAGTCCTGAAAGAGCTATCCTTAGTCCTTTCCCTGCTGTGTCTGTTCAGGTATAAACCCTCGCGTGAAGTCGGGACGTTTTATGAAAATTCTCCCTGATTATGAGCACATGGCGTACAGAGACGTTTACACCTGCCGTATGTACCTCCCGCGAGCTCTGGCTTTTTGGGCAGCCCGCACGGCCAAGAACTGCATGGGGAGGGCCCTCCAATTCACACATGGGACAGCTTTGGTCCTGGGAGCAAGCAGACCTCGTGGCTTTTTGTCGTCTTTTAACGTTCACTTGCCACAGTGTGGCTCTGGTTCGGCTGTGACACAGATCACGCCTGTATGCAGGACTCCAGGCCATATTTGAGTCATCTTTCTGCAGTGGTTTCTGTCGAGATCACTTTCATGCACATTTTCACATTTATCGTTTATTGAGGAGCTACTGTAGAAATTCATGCAGAGGCAGAGAGGAAAGAACAGAGTAGAAGCTTTAAAACTTTTATTCTAAAGTTAAATGTGAATAGTTGACTTCTGAGCTTTATTAATCACATCTTAATAGCCTATTTGAATTAAAAATCACATCTGCATATACCCTCAATAGACAAATGCAGGTAGCAACAGTTGATTCTTTTTTTATTTTTTTGAGACGTAGTCTCACTCTGTCACCCAAGCTGGAGTGCGGTGTCACAGTCTCAGCTCACTGCAACTGCCCCCTCCTGGGTTCAAGTAATAATACCACCTCAGCCTCCCAAGTAGCTAGGATCATGGCCGGTGAATTTTTTTTTTTTTTTTAAATGGAGGTTTCACCATGATGGCCAGGCAGGTCTTGAACTCCTGCTCTCAGGTGATCCACCCACCTCGGCCTCCCAAAGTGCTAGGATTACAGGCGTGAGCCACTGCGCCCAGCCGGCTGGTGAATTTTTTTTTTTTTTTTTTTTTGATTTTTAGTAGAGACGGGTTTTACCATGTTGCCCAGGCTGGTCTTGAACTCCTTACCTAAAGTTATCTGCCCATCTCAGCCTCCCAAGGTGCTGGGATTACAGGTGTGGGCCACTGTGCCCAGCCAACAGTTGACTCTTTAAAACTTAATTCTTCTTTTCTGCTGGGTGTGGTGGCTCACACCTGTAATCCCAGTACTTTGGAAGGGTGAGGCATTGGGAGGCTGAGGCAGGCAGGTCACCTGAGGTCAGGAGTTCAAGACCAGCCTGGCCAAGATGGTGAAACTCATCTCTAGTAAAAGTACAAAAACTAGCTGGGTGTGGTGGCAGGTGCCTGTAATCCGAGCTACTCAGGAGGCTGAGGCGGGGGAGTCACCTGAACCTGGAGGTAAAGGTTTCAGTGAGTCGAGATCACTCCAGCCTGGGTGACAAGAGCGAGACTCTGTCTCAAAAAAAAAAAAAAAAAAAAAAGAAAAAGACTTAATCCTTTTGATGGAGCTCTGGAAATTTCTTTAAGACACAGTCATAGGAATTTAATGCTGTCTCCATTTTTTGAGACACTATCTTGCTTGTTGCCCAGGTTGGAGTACAGTGCACAGTCACAGCTCACTGTATCATTGAACTCCTGTCTCAGCCTCCCTAGTAGCTGGGGCTAGAGGCATGTACCATCATGCCTGGTTAATTTTTCAGTTTTTTTATAGAGATAGGGGTCTCACTGTGTTGCCCAGGCTGGTCTTGTACTCCTGGGCTCAATCAGTCCTCCCACCTTGGCCTCTCAGTGTTGAGAATGCAGGTGTAGCCATTGCACCTGGACTGTTTCTGCTTTTATTAGCTCAGAGTGGTTGAGTGGTGATAGAGACAATGACTTTCAGCTGTCTAGAAAGAGATTAAAAACACCTGCCTGCTCTAAAAGCTGTGTAGCCGTTTCTAGAAGCACGTGGAGCCCATACTACTGCTTTCTTCAGCCCACCAGACTGCTCATGAGTCAGCATTGTCTATTGAGAGCAGACCTACATGTTCAGTTTCATGAATACCAGATTTCTAAAAACACCTACTGAAAGCAGAAAGAATAAGAGTCGTTTATAGAACTTCTCCTAGTGTCCTGCCAAATCTCAGCAGATCGCTGCAGTAGGGGAACTGGGCCTCTCTTTACTGAGGGGACCTTGCTGAAGTCGGGGAGGAGGTACCTGGATTTGGTTAGCCCACACTTCAGGGTGGTGTCTGAGTGCTTTACACACCTGCTAACAACACTGCCTTGTTGAGGTGAACTGTCTAGCTGAGTGGAGGTGGAGCCAAGGGACCTTTCAGGAGTCTGGACAGTGAACAAGGGGCTGGAAGCGGCCGAGGTGGGAAGGGAGGGGTGGGCAACGTTTGAAGACATTGTGCTGTTCTGGACTGACCAGCCCTTCATCTGAGCAGTCAGTGAGCAGAGCCGTGGGAGGGAACGGTCAACTTCATGAGCTCTAAGAACCGTCTCTCCTTGGTGGTGACAAGAATGTGCTGGGTGAGGGTGTTTTTCTTTTTTTTTTTCTTGAGATGGAGTCTTGCTCTGTTGCCTAGGCTGGAGTGCAGTTGTGTGATACGGGCTCACTGCAAACTCTGCCTTCTGGGTTCAAGTGATTCTTGGGCCTCAGCCTCCCAAGTAACTGGGATTACAGGCACATGCCACCACACCTGGCTAATTTCTGTATTTTTAGTAGAGATGGAGTTTCACCATGTTGGCCAGGCTGGTTTTGAACTCCTGACCTCAGGTGATTGGGCAAGGGCTTTTCCATACAAGGGGGCTAGCACTGAGAGGCTCCTCATGTTGTACGTCTGTCCCACGACTTCTCTGGAATGTGCACTGTGGATGTAGGATGGAACTCTGTTCCAGCTGGTCTGGAACTCCTAGGCTCAAGTGATTATCCCATCTCAGCTTCCCAAAGTGTTGGGATTACAGGCGTGAGCCACTGCACCTCGCCAATGTTCTGTACTTTTTAAAATATGTAAAACACTGGTTCATTTTAGCCTTTACTGAGATATTAACAATGATATCCCCTAAAAATATAGAGTGCCTTTCTTAGAAATGTAGAATTCCTTGAAACATCTGGTCCTCTGAAGTTGGAGCTGAACTTGGAGCAGGCGAACATGAGGAAGAATCCCATTCATTAAATGGCTGTGGGGCCGCAGACACATCCGCAGCCTAGTTCCCAGAGCTGGTGGAGTTGTCATTTAATCTGTGTGGGGTCTCCCAGGGCAGCTGGAACAGATGAGCGCAAAGGGGGCCTCAAACAGCAGAAACTCATTGTCTCACAATCTGGAGGCCAGAGGTTCAAGACAACGTGTCCTGGGGTCCTGCTGCCTCCGAAGGTCCTTGGGGAGCCTCCTTCCTGCTGCTTCTTGCTCCGGTTGGATGGCTGCAGCCCCTGCCTCTGTCCCCACTTGGCCCCCTCCATCTCTGTCTACGTATCCATCTCCTCTCCTCGGAGGACGTCTGGCCTTGTTTGCGCCTGCGTTTCTTTCTTTTTTTTTTTTTTTGAGACGGAGTTTCGCTGTTGTTACCCAGGCCTGGAGTGCAATGGCGCGATCTCGGCTCACCGCAACCTCCGCCTCCTGGGTTCAGGCAATTCTCCTGCCTCAGCCTCCTGAGTAGCTGGGATTACAGGCATGCGCCACCATGCCCAGCTTATTTTTTGTATTTTTAGTAGAGATGGGGTTTCACCATGTTGACCAGGTTGGTCTCGGTCTCTCGACCTTGTGATCCACCCGCCTCGGCCTCCCAAAGTGCTGGGATTACAGGCTTGAGCCACCGCGCCCGGCCTGCGCCTGCGTTTCTTTATCCTAACGTGGTCGCACCTCCATTACATACTGATTACTTCCACATAGGGCCACATTCTGAGGTTCCAGGGGACATGAATTTTGGGGGACACCACTCAGCCCAGCCCCCATCGTAATGGGGACTCAGTGGGTAAAGGTGCGGGTCCTGAGGCAAGGGGGCATCCTGGATCACCTAGGCAGGCTTTGTGTTATCACAGGGTCTTTGTACAAGGGGGGCCCATGACAGGAGCAGGAGTGAGAGGTAAGAGGCTGCATGTAGCTGAAGGTGGAGGAGGGCCCAGGAGCGGAGGAGGGCAGCGGCCTTGGACGCTGGAATGTAGGGAGTGGACTCCTGAAGCCTCTAGGAGGCAGTGGCCCTGCCCACGCCTCGGCTGACAGAAAGGCAGCTCATGTCAATCCATTTTCTTCCATAGACTCTCCTGAGCAACACAGGACAAACCTTTAGCTAGGGGCATCCACCCATAAAATCTCCATCCCTGCCAGTCTCCTGGCATGGAGCCCACCTGTGGTGTGTGGGCCGAGGTTCGAGGACTGTGAGTCAGGACAGGTGTGGTTCTTGCAGATGTGCCAGCACCTGGGCTGGTGCCGGCAGGAGAAAGTGTAACCCCACCTTTCATGGTCCTTTCCCATTTGGCTTCATTTTGAATTCATTTCGGGAGCATTTATGCAGGGGCTTCCAGGGCAGATTGATGCCTACTTTCAATACCTGGAATTAGAGGAATGCGTTCATCTCAAAAGAGTATTCTGACATTTTTCCAGTCTTTACTGTGAGGCCAGATCTGTACTCTCAGAATGGGGTCCTGGACAGTGGCGTCCATGTCTTCTGGGAACTTGTTTGACGCAGCTTCCCTGGTCTCTTCCTGTGGCTGTCATGTCTGGAACTTCTGGCGATACTCAAGTTTTTGGACTTCTGACTTGGATTATTCCTTCCCTCCCTTTAGTAAGGGTTAAAATCTTAAAGGTTGCAGCATCTGGTAATTTATTACCAGATGTTAAAATAACATTTAGTAAGAGGTAGCGATGTCCTTATTCACATTCTCATCTTTAATGTATTTAATTTTTGGTACTGAAAAAAATGGCATAACCTTCGAGGCAGAAATAAGGTTGTTGGTTTTTTAATGTAGTTGTTTAGCCTCCTAGATTGTCAGAGAAGCATTTATTTCTTTAACTGACAGGTAAGGATTGTATATATTATGTGTTTATGGGGCACAGTGTGATGTGTTGACATCTCTTTATGTTGTGGAGTGATTTTCAGCCTGGCCACACATTACAGTCACCTGGGAGCTTCTCAGAAACCCTGACAGGTCCCCCACCTCACCTCCCTATCCCCTTGCTGATTGACTTGGCTGCCATGGGGCCTGGAGTTGACGTTTTCCCATGTTCCTCTGATTTTGATGCGCAGTTAGGGTGGAGAGCCACTCTAAACCAAGGAAGACCATCTTTTCTCTGTGTGAAGCCGATGTGTATGTATATATATTTGTTGTTGAGATGGAGTCTCACTCTGTCGCCCAGGCTGGAGTGCAGTGGTGTGATCTTGGCTCACTCCAACCTCTTATCTCCTGGGTTCAAGTAATTCTCCTGCCTCAGCCTCCCAAGTAGCTGGGATTATAGGCACGTGCCACTATTTCTGGCTAATTTTTGTACTTTTAGTAGAGATGGGGTTTCATCATGTTGGCCAGGCTGGTCTTGAACTCCTGACCTCAAGTGATCTGCCTGCCTCGGCCTCCCGAAGTGCTGGGATTACAGGCCTGAGCCACCACGCCGGCCCTGTTCCTTGCTGTTTCATATGGGAAGATAATGTGGCAGCTGCCCAAGAGTGAGCCTTTGAAGTGGCCTGGTCTTGTGGGAAGGCTTGATCACCTGCTGCCCTTGACTGAGACACTGAGGAGCTTGTGAGGAACTGAAGTACAGGGTACATTTTTCCTGGGTTCTTTTTTTTTTCCCCAGAGCCCACTTTAGTTAGGAAGGACTGGGTCCTTTGAATTTAGAAAGATAGGCAGCTAGAAGACATGTTTATAATAAAAATGGTGAGGCATTAGGGTTTACAGGTAACATTTCACACTCGTATGGGTCCATCTCTGCTCTTGACCGTCTGAATGGGAGCTGAATTCCTGTTGAAATCTATGGATTCATCTCTTGAATAAATACATTTGCTTTTGCAATAGCTATGCTTCTTTTTTTTTTTTTTTTTTTTTTTTTTGAGACAGAATTTCACTCTTGTTACCCAGGCTGGAGTGCAATGGCGCGATCTCGGCTCACCGCAACCTCCGCCTCCTGGGTTCAGGCAATTCTCCTGCCTCAGCCTCCTGAGTAGCTGGGATTACAGGCACGCGCCACCATGCCCAGCTAATTTTTTTTGTATTTTTAGTAGAGACGGGGTTTCACCATGTTGACCAGGATGGTCTCGATCTCTTGACCTCGTGATCCACCCGCCTCGGCCTCCCAAAGTGCTGGGATTACAGGCTTGAGCCACCGCGCCCGGCCAATAGCTATGCTTCTTAAGGATGCTTTTTAAAGTGCATGTTCTCAGACACAGGCTTTGTGATTCCATGAGGAAGCTTGTGTCCCCTCTGGATCTGTATGCTGGCAGCCCATCTGGCCACACGGTTTCTCTGACTCATCTCTTGTTATGGTGTTGGTGGCTGTCATAGACTAAAGGAGTTGAAACCTGTTCAGCAGAGGCTGTTGCTTCCAAAGTACAGCAGAGTCACCGCTCTGAGCAACATGCAGAGCTTAAAGATCCAGGGAGGATGTCGCTTTAGAACTGGCATCCCAGGAGGCTGCTGTGTTTTTATTTCAGAAGTGCTGCGTTGAGGCAAAATAGGGAACTCCCCCTTTGTGATTGCCAGGAGTCTGAGGCAGGCTCTTTGGGCATTCTTCAACGGGGGAGCTGAGGGGAGGGGAGGAGGAGAGGAGAGTACACCATGCTGACTAGTGTTATTTTTTCCCCCTAGTATTTCATGATGAAGTTTTGACAATAGAAAAGTTGGAAGAATTGTCCAGTGAACCTCCATTTCATTGTCATCCAGCTACCCAGCTGCCCAGCTGTCCATCCCTCCGTGGACTTATTTTCTGATGCATTTCACACTTGCAGTCATCAATACATTTCACTCCTAAACACTTCAGTGTCGAGATCAGTGTCTGTTACAGTTCTTGATCACACACCCATCGAGATGTGACTGTAAAGCAGCAAGAGCGGCTTGACTGTGTCCTTCCTGTAAATGGACTCAGAGGATTCCGTAAGGGGTGGCCGGCAGCAGCCTGCACACAGCCCAGGCTCAGTTAGGAACTTCCTAAATGATAATCTGGGCTGAATCCTGGGAGCTGTTGGTGGAGTCCAGCCTCCTCTCCAAAGGCTCGAGAGGTTTCTCATTCCCTGTACCCTAGATCCAGGTGGGGGCCTCCCTGCTGCCATCTGGCCTCTTGCCCTCCCTGCTCCATCTTCCTTCCTGTGGTCTGGAGGGGTTTTGCTGCTCCAGTGCTCAGAAATCTTGCATGGCCCCCACAACCTGCAGAGCCCCGAGACCCTGCCCATTCGCTGAGTCACATGTGCTCACTCATCAGATACAGGTGTAGGACAGCAGATGGAAACCACGTCTGCCAGCGTATTGACTGCGCTGTGGTCTCTTGAGTGGTGGGATTACCAGTGAGCTTTAGGTTTCCTTTTTCCAAATTGTCTTTAGTGACTATGTATGTGTTGCTTTTGAAATAGAGGGGATTTTTTTTTTTTTGAGACAGGGTCTTGTTCTGTTGTCCAGGCTGGAGTGCAGTGGCACAATCATAGCTCACTACAGCCTCCACCTCCCCGGCTCAAGTGATCCTCTTGCCTCAGCCTCCTGGGTAGCTGGGACCACAGCGCATGCCACCACACCTGGCTAATGGAAATTTATTTTTAAAAGAGGTGACCCAGCTGAAATTGTAATCTGCAGTCCCATGACATTTTGTCCTCTGCCCCAACGTGTTCCACAATCCCTGACTTCCGCTGTTGTGTCAGATGCCACTGGGGCTTCCCAGGGACTGTATTTCATTTTCTTCATCTCTCTGTCTGTTCTTGTTTTGACCGAATAGTTCATTTTCTTAGTACTCATCTTTTGAAATTTGGAGTATCACTGGCTGCTCTCACCTCTTCATATGGACTTTGGAATCATTTTGTTAAGTTACTGTTTAAAACCTGTTGGGTTTGGGCCGGGCGCGGTGGCTCATGCCTGTAATCCTAGCACTTTTGGAGGCCGAGGTGGGTGGATCACCTGAGGTCAGGAGTTCAAGACCAGCCTGGCCATCATGGTGAAACCCCATCTTATAAAACAAATACAAAAACAAAGAAACCTGTGGGTTTGAGTTGGGACAACATTATGTGCGATTAGCTGGGGGAGTTTTTGCCTTCAGTGTTCTCCCCTTGTACAAATGTTTCTTGTCTCTGTCTTTACTGAAGTCTTGTAAAGCTGTGAGTGGACTTAGTGCCTCCTCTTGCCGATGCTGGGTCCGCTGCTCCCCCCACCGAGCGAACGATGCCTCTGCTGGATTCCTGTGCGAGTCCCTGTTACTTGTCTTGCTGAGCGCTCATTCTGCGGGACCCAGGGTTTGTGGGAGTTTTCCAGGTACACAGGCGCCAGGCGTGCTCCTCTGCCCTGCGCTGGTCTTGCTTGCTGCTCTGGTGGGTGTCCTGGGTGAGTGAGGGGCCCCCTCTCATAGGCAGCCCTCACTTGATGGTTCCCAGCACTTTCTGTCCCACCGTCAGGAGACCTGGGACCTGTGCTTGGCCCAGTGACCCAGATGGATGAGGCTGTATCAGCCTGGGCCGGTTGCCTATGGTGACCATGATGGGGAGGTGTCTGCAAAGCACCCTGTATATTCTGTCTATATAGAATATATATACAGATCTGTACTCTATACTTGCTCACCTCTTCACCTGCCAGATGAGCTTCTACGCCCAGGCTCCACTGTCAGGAAATGCAGGCCTGGGCAGGGGAAGTCACTGGGAGCCACCTTCTTCCCCATGATCTTACTCACTGCTTTTTCTTGCCGGGTAGGGCTTCCTGAATGATGGGAACTGGCAGTGGTGGTGAAGTGTGCGAGGCAGGCTTTATCAGGCATTTAGCAGCCAAGAGGTGGCTTGTAAATGCTGATACAGTGCAGAGGCTAGAGGGGCTAGGCTGGCTGACCTGGGAGGCTGATGGAGAGCGGGCATGTGAGGTGGAGAGGCAGGAAGGTTGGTGGCAGCCACACGGCAGAGGGCCTAGGGCCTGGCCAGGGAGCCGTGGAGAGAGGCAGTGGGTGGGCCGGGGGTTCAGGCTGGCCTGAGGGGAGGCAGCTGGCACAGTGGCCCATACGCCATGTGGTAAAGGCCAAGCGAGGGCCTGGGGGCAGCTTCAGGGGTGACCTGGAGCTGCTCAGGAAGTGAGATGGCCCAGCCTGACTTGGCCATTGGCTGGCAAGGAATGGGACAGAGATGTTTTGTCCTGGGCCTCCAGCAAGTGTGACATTGTCATTACTGGGATAGCTTTAAAGATCTGATTGCTTACGACATGCCTTGTAGTGGTGCCAGCGCCTCAGCATTTTGCAGGTCTGATCCAGCTCTCTGTTTGCACCCCTTCTGTCTTATTCCTAGAAAAGAGATTTCCCTGCCTTGCTTGATTTCCCCCCACTGATGGGAGGCTCATTTTACTCAGGCTTTCTGAGGATCGTTTCATTCTGATACAGCTTCAGAGGCTTGGTGTGCATGTGTTTGGAGGGCTCTCCTGCAAGTCTTTTGTGAGTCCTCATGGTTTCTTCCTACTTCTTGGGGCTCCCTGGTTCCCTGTGGCATGGTGAGTCTAACACCGAGACTTGCTCTTTCTCTTCTCCTGTAGTGCTTCACCGATACAGACACATTTTGGGATTGTGGCAGCCAGATATCGGGCCATATGGAGGACTGCTGAACGTGGTGGTAAGTCCCAGAGCCTTGTGATGGGGTCTGTGCATGGGCAGGAGTGACGCCTTAAGTGAGGAATTTCAGGGCCTCTTCTACCTGGGTGCAAGCTGGCCCACATGTGCGTTGGAGGTAATTACCAAAAACTTCTTGCTGGGTCACTTTTCAGGACGCCTATTTTATTTTCCAAATGAGCAAAGATTCGCTTAGAGTACCACCTTGGCCTTTTGGCCCATCCTTGGACTTTCTGGTCTTAGGGCGTGGCTGTGAGGGCCTTTGCTTCCTGGATGCTGAGGCCCAGTGCGCACATGCTGGGGTGGTCTGGAGTCTGCCCTCAGCCAGGTCCTTCCTTTCTGGGTCTTTGCCCCACATGATCTAGCCATGTTGTGCTCTGACATCTGTTTCCTCGGGTTCTGTAGATCCTCTCTGACCCCATAGTCTGGAAAGTGCTAGAATGGTGCAGGTGGAAGTCCAGGCTGGTGGCAGAGTTGCCTCCATTTCCCGTCTCCTAGCAGCCTGGTGTCAGGGTCTGAGGACCTGTGAGGACATTACTTTTGTTTCCTGTGTCTGCTGTGGCAGTGTCTGTCTAGTCCCAGGTACTTGATCATGGCCAGAGATGGAAGTCTGTTTTTTTTAATTTAATTCTCATGTTCTGTTGATGTTTTCCTTCTCTTTGTCCATCTTTTTGGGTATAGTAGTGGAAGTCTGTTTCAAGTCTAGCCCTTGCCTTTTCTCCTGATTTCCAGGCATGCCAGTCGTCCCTCACCCCTCACCCTTCACCATGTGCCTGGGCGCTTGTCTGGGTGCTGTGGCCTGGTCTTCCCAAGAGGCCCTGGCCCTGGCCTGCAGGCAGAGCTGAGTCAAGAGCACCTGCTCTGCGCACGCCTAGGTGGGGTGTCTCATTCTCATTCCCAGTTGCTCTCCTTCCTCTGTAGGGCCCAGGCAGAGGCCCTGGGTACACTCTTTCCACAGGCCCTGAGAAAAGGTTCTTCTGCCTCTTCTCTTTTTGGCTTTGTAAGCCACGCTTCACTCAGCCCCTTTGCCTCTCAGCAGCCACGCTGCTTCCCTCCTCCACCTCCCACCCCTCACTCAGGATTCCTCAGGTGCCTCGTGCAGCTGCCTGTGCAGTGTGGGGCTGTGTTCTCTGGTTACCGTCTTCAGCATTTGGTCATGGTAGTCCTGGCCCCTGTGTGCCTCTCCAGCCTGCAGGTGCCAGGCGTGGGCCTTCCTCCCCAGCCAGTGTTCAGTGGCCTCAGGAAGTGGGGAGAAAGCCCTGCCCCTCGGCCCACCAGCCTGTCCCTTTTCTTCAGGACCTTGGGTCCTCGTCTCTGGGCTACCTTCATTGCTCTCTGATGTGTTCAGTCTTTTTTACTGTTTTCTTTTTTCTTCCTCCTGGAATTAGGAGACAGTCTTCAGTCTTGATGTCTATTCTTGGCAGGAGGGTAGGTTTGATATGAGCTCTGTGGCCAGGGCGAGGAACAGATCTCTGCTTGTAGTTTTAGTTTCTGTGCTACCCGGCCACCTGCCAACTTACATTGAACAGTAGCTGCTCATTCAGCACAGTGAGGTCTGACTTTTCTTGATATTCGAAGGTGTGTCTGTGGAGTGAGGATGTGGTGCTCTGCAGGGTCCACAGGGCTTCCGGTCTGCCCTCCCATCCTCCCATCCTCTCCCCCTCCCTCCCTCCCTCCCTCCCTCCTATCCTTACACCCTCCTACTGGAGCCTCTGGAAGGGAAGGCCCTGCCCTGACTTTGTTGAGCTCTGGGCTGGCCCCTGGCCCCTGAGATGTCACTGTTGCCATTGCTTTTGCTGTGGTGAAAATCTGGTGCTGGCGTTCGGCTTGTGCTCTGCTCCCTTTTGTGCGCTTGGACCAGGGGCTGAGCTCGGTGAGGTCGGATGTGTCTGTCTCCCCATGGCCTCTGCACAGGTTCTTCTGGGCCTGGTGTGCACAGCCCCTCGGCAAATGGCTGCTCTGCGACTCTGGCCTTGGCTCCCCAGGTGGGGTTTGGGGCCGGGATACACATTCTCCTTTGTCATCTGGTGGGAGTGGCCATGGAGAAGCAAGCTCTGCGTTTGTGGTGTTGGGCACTGCGTCCAGCTTTGCTTTTAGGATATTTCCTCCAGGAGACCAGCCTGGCAGCTCATAGTGTGGGCAGGTTGCTTTCCTTTCTTTCAGTGGAGAGAGAATGGTAATTGTTTTTCTTACTGGCAGTGAGTAATAGAGTAAAAAAAAAAAAAAAAAAAAAAAAAAAACCCAAAAACCAAAAAGCAGCTTCTGAAAACCAGGGAATAATTGGGGAAAGTGGAGTCCGTGAGAGAAGAGCACTAGCTCACGCTTGACCGGGGCTCATTAGCCTCAGAAATGATGGAATTCTCTCCTTGGTTGCTGGAGCTGGAAGTCTCCTTGGTTTCAGCTCTCCCAGAAGGGATGACAGTAGGCCATCTTTCCTTATAAGCATGTGGCCACTGTGCCCAGAGCATGCTGGGGCCACCCGACTTCTGCGTTTGCACAGTCAGTGCTCCGACACGTGAGGACGCACGGGCAGCGTGCTCCCTCAGCTCTTTCCGCTCCTGAGGTCCTGCTCTCAGGTCCTGGCATGTCTCTCCTCCCCTGCACTTTGATTTTGAAGCAAATCCGAGGCCCGTGGCATTTCAGCTGTCCCTCCCTCCATGCAGCGCCCTAATAAAGGGGGTGTTTCCCGCATCTCCATGTCACTACCACACGTGACAAAAGTGGCAGTAGTTCTTTCCGTTCCCTGATGCCCAGGCCATGGCACCCTTCCAGATCATCTCAAAGGCACCTTTGAACTGCAGTTTGTTCACCTCAGGATGCGAACAAGGCCCTTGCGCTGCAGTTGTTCACTTTCTTCTATGAGGAGATGCACTTCTGTTCCCTCTGTCTGGTTGAGCATCTCACCCCACCTCACTTTCTGGATTATTCTGCCGCCTCCTGGTGTCTGCCCCCATCTTAGAGCTGGAGGATAGTGCTGGGCACTGGCTCGCATTCAAGGCAGCTTGAGGGTGGGCATGCATGTCCCAGGTGCTGGCCTGGCGGGAGCATCTCTGTGCGATTGCAGTGCGGGGCACCGGGGGTATGGGAGGGGTGGCTGTGTAGGGCTGCCTTCGCTCTGGCCCGGGAGCTGCTTGTGGACCTTACCTTATCTCCTCCTGCAGGTGGACGGCTTGTTCATCATTGGGTGGATGTACCTGCCTCCCCACGACCCCCATGTCAATGACCCCATGAGATTCAAGCCTCTGTTCAGGATTCACCTGATGGAGAGGAAGGCCGCCACAGTGGAGTGCATGTACGGCCACAAAGGGCCCCACCACGGCCACATCCAGGTGTGTGCAGTGGCAGGGCTGGTCCTCACCATCCCAGTGCCATCCTGCATGGTATTCTCAGCTGCAGACCCGGGCTATGGCAGATCAGTGGGTGGGAGGGAGGCTCTGCCCTGCCCAACTGTGCATTGTTTGTGCCCCTGTGGCACGGTAGACTCGAGGTCACTTGCCAGAGCCCTCTGTTGATTCCGTTCTCAGAGCCGCTGGTTCTTTGCAACTCCAGTTCCTCTGTTTCTTTTTCTCCTGTTTGCAAGAATATCAGTGTGGAATTGAGTGCGCTCTCTGCTGTCTGATCTGGTCTGGCAGTGGTCCCCATCGTGAGCACGGTGTGTCATCTGTCACACAGTGCGTGTGAGATGCAGCCCTTTTGCTGTTCCATGTCACGCTGGGAAATGCAAACAACCCTCTCTGGGACGTGCCACCACTTCCTGCTCTGTGGGGAGTGTTGCTCAGGGAGACTCCGTTCCCTCTGCTGGCCCTGCATCAGTTGCATCTTGGGTGCCTGCAGATGGGTTTGGTGGGTGTGGTGAGGGAGGGGTTGTGGCCATCTGCCTGGCGTGGGGGATGCTGTGGCGGACTCTGTGTTTCTCACTGTCCTCTTTCCTTGCATCGCGGACACTGAAGATTGTGAAGAAGGATGAGTTCTCCACCAAGTGCAACCAGACGGACCACCACAGGATGTCTGGCGGGAGGCAGGAGGTGAGTCCACGAGCTGGTCTTGTGTTCACATGATACAGATCTACCCTTTCCCCACAGGGTAAGTTGAGACCCACGTGGGAGGGAAGTCAGCCACGTGCGACCTGCATGGTGGCCATTTAACGTGGTTCAGCATACTGTTGTCAGTGAAGACAGTGCATCCAGCACACTTGAGAAACAGCATCATGTGGGCTTGTGTGCAGGCAGGCAAGTCACTGGCCCCCTCCACTTACAGAATGATGAACCACACAGGTCGTTTCTTTAGTTAGCTGTGCTTTGCCGCTTTGGCAGGCGTATCCTCTTGCTGAGGATTTGCTGGGAGGCTGCTTCTAGGATGGGGGTACCAGAGACCCCAGGGCCTCACCCAGGGCTCCTGTGTTTTCCACCCTCGAGCAGACCGTGCAGAGGCTTCTGGATTGTGCCAGTGCAGTGGGGAGGCCTGCGTGTGATTGCTTGCCTGAGTATTTTAATACTGTCCTTGAGTTTTAGCATTCAAGGATCTAAGTCTTACTGCCATTTCAAAATATTCTTAAGAAGGAAGGTGCAGTGGCTCACATCTGTAGTCCCAGCACTTTGGGAGGCTGAGGCAGGAGGATCACTTGAAGTCTGAAGTTCAAAACCAGTCTGGGCAACATAGTGAGACCCTGTCTCTAAAGAAAAAACAAAAAATTAATCAGGCACGCTACCATGACTCGCTAATTTTTTTTATATTTTTAGAAAAGACAGGTTTATGCCATGTTGCCCATGCTGGTCACAAACTCCTGGGCTCAAGCCGTTTTCCTGCCTTGGCCTCCCCAAGTGCCGGGATTACAGGTGTGAGCCACCATACCGGGAAGGGTTTGCATTTCTTAGCCAGTTTGAATTTCCCGTGGTTTCCCTATCAGCCTGAGGACTGCAGAGAGGTTTAAGATGAACCAAATGTACTGTTTCTTGGGATCCTTTGCAGGTAAGTGAGGTTCCTGTTTTCTCAAATAGATGGCATGTGAAGATGATAAATAATGGAAAAAAAATTTTCATTTATTATGCTGTCGTTTTAGATTTTATATACAGAAATATACAACATATGTATGATTACTGTGGCTCACATTTTTGTTTTTTTGAGACAGAGTCTTGCTATGTCACCTAGGCTGGAGTACAGTGGCACGATCTCAGCTCACTGCAACCTCCACCTCCTGGGTTAAAGCAATTCTCCTGCCTCAGCCTCCCGAGTAGCTGGGATTACAGGCACCCGCCACCAAGCCCAGCTCATTTTTGTATTTTTAATAGACACAGGGATTTACCATGTTGTCCAGGCTGGTCTCGAACTCCTGACCTCAGGCGATTCACCTGTCTCAGCCTCCAGAGTGTTGGGATTACAGGCGTGAGCCGCTGCACCCAGCCTTGTGGTGTCACATTTAAGTGAAAAATGTCAGCAGATTTTTCAAGAATAGAAACTCCTCGGCTCTTGAGCCCGTAAAAAAGAAAACTATATTCTGTTTCTGGTACTATATACTTTGGGATTAGTAAAAGTTCCTGTAAGCCAACTTCTGTGTGTGGGCTCACTGATTGTGAACTGTAGTAGTATTCTTCCTGACTTTCAATATAACAATATGCTCCTTGTGGAAATGAAACTCCCAGGAGTGAAGGTGAAAGTGAATGCTTTGCTGAAATCTTGATGGTGGTGAGTTGATGTTTCCCTTATTCTTAGTGAGGCCAGCCTAGTGTCTTGGGGTCAGGACCTAACTGGGGCTCTTTTTCATGAACTATCTTTCTTGTCATAGCCATGCCTCTTTTTCTGTTTGGTGTTCACGGGTTTCAAGTGGGTTTGTAGGAGCTCATTAACTGTTTGGAAATTGAAACCCGTCCAGATAGGAATTGCCAGGTTTTTCTCTTTTTTGTCTTTGGATTTGTCTTATGATGTGTTTTCATCCAGGGGACTTTTTAAATGTTAAGAGATGGGGGGGTGTCTCACTTTGTTGCCCAGGCTGGTCTCAAACTCCTGGGTTCAAGTAAGTGATCTTCTCGCTGGCCTCCCAAAGTGCTGGGCTTATGGGTGTGAGCCAGTGCACCCAGCCATATTTAAAATTTTTACAAAAGCAGGTGTATCTATCTTTCCTTAAAGGCCTTTCGGTTTAGTGCCTGAGATCTCTCCCCACCCTGATATGTTTACAAATGAGTTTCTGCTTTTATTCTTCTCTTGTGTCTATGTCTGGTTCTTTTGGATTTATTCTGATGTGAAATGTAGGGCTTAGCCCCCGCTTTGGTTCTGTGCATCCTGCTCCGTTATCTCCACACTAGCTGTGGAATAACCACACTTTCTCCATCAATGTGAAGTGCTGCCTTTGTCCTAGGTTATTACCCTGTATGTTCCATTCATTTCTGGACTTGATATTCTGATCCTTGTGTCTGTCTACACGTCAGTACCACACTATTCTAAATCTTGTAGTTTTATCACTACATCTTAATGTTATTTTACTTATGATTTAGTGACAGGGTCTCACTGTGTTGCCCAGGCTGGGCTCAAATGATCTTTCTACCTCAGCCTTCCAAAGTGTTGGGATTACAGCTGTGAGCCACTGTACCCAGCCTATCACTATAATTTAATTGCCTGTTTTTCCTCTACTATTTTGGAATGTTCCTGGCTCATCTTGTTCATTGCTATATGAACTCCGGAAGTAGCTATTTCCCAGAAACATCCCCTTGTCATCTCTTCTTGTGATTGGAATCGCAGCATGCTTACTTACGGTCAGTGTATGGGGCACTGCCGTCTGTGTGATGTCCACGTTCCTGTTCAACACCACTCCCTTGGCTCTTCCTGAGCTCTCCCTCCCAGAGTTGACAGGGTGAGTATGCCACTGTCCCAGGCAGGGCAGAGGCTGGCGCTGGTGACAGTGCCATACCACCTATCCTAGAGTGACAGCGGCCTGTCGTCTCCTGCAGGGGTCCATGCCCTCCTGTGGGGCTTGTCACCTGGTCCCACAGTTACTTTATCTTGAGGCCTGCAGTGTCCTCACTGCTTTTTTTAGGTTGTGTGGGGGTTCAGGAGGGTAGGGCTGTCTGTGGATTTGTGCATCAGCTGGGAGCTCCTCTCTTGCTTTCTAGCTAAGTCTTTCAGGCCAGAGAGCAGGTAGGTTACCGGGAGAGCTGGGTTCTAGAAAAAGGACGTGCCAGATCTGGACATGGTGACATATCCCGATAATTTTCACAACTGAGGTAAAAGATTGGGCACAGGAATTTGGGACTGCCCTGTGCTCTGCTGGTCAAGAACTTCTGGATCAGCGGTGTATGTCCATTTTCACACTGCTGATAAAGACATTCCCAAGACTGGATAATTTATAAAGAAAAGAGGTTTAATGGACTCAGTTCCGTGTGGCTAGGGAGGCCTCACAATCATGGCAGAGGGCAAAAAGAAAAAGAGAGCACTTGTGCAGGGGAACTCCCCCTTTATAAAACCATCAGGTCTTGAGACTTATTCATTAAGCATGAGAGCAGCATGGAAAAGACCCACCCTCACAATTCACTTACCTCCCACGGGATGCCGTCCATGACATGTGGGAATTGAAAGAGCGACACAGATGAGATTTGGGTAGGGACACAGCCAAACCTTATCAAATATGTTGCAAGGGAGTGGAGTCTTGTCTGCCCAGGGAGGTTGGAGGGGCTGGGCTGTGGACAGGGGAGGCTGCAAGGGCAGTGCTGTCTCTTTGGCATCCCTTTGTCTCTATGTGAGCCACCTCCGCCCTGTGAGGTTGTTCCTTGCACCCAGGCTGCCTCACTGGCATGATCTGATATTACTGGGGTTGCGGGTTCCCTCAACCCTGGGTCCTTGTGAGAAATACGACCCTCGGCTGGGCGCAGTGGCTCAAGCCTGTAATCCCAGCACTTTGGGAGGCCGAGGCGGGTGGATCACGAGGTCAAGAGATCGAGACCATCCTGGTCAACATGGTGAAACCCCGTCTCTACCAAAAAAAAAATATATATAAAATAAACAAATTAGCTGGGCATGGTGGCGCACACCTGTAGTCCCAGCTACTGGGGAGGCTGAGGCAGAAGAATTGCTTGAACCCAGGAGGCGGAGGTTGTGGTGAGCCGAGATCGCGCCATTGCACTCCAGCCTGGGTAACAAGAGCGAAACTCCGTCTTAAAAAAAAAAAAAAAAAAAATGAGTCCTAAGAAACTCAGTTTGCAAAGATAGGTTCCATTTCTTTTTTTTTAAACGTAAGTTTGGTAGCTTCACATCAGGTTCTGCATTTGTGTGGAGGCCTGTGGCCCATCTTGAATGATCCTGTGTGTGGTGTGAGGTGGGGTTGGGGTTCCTTCTCTAAATGAAAACCCAGCTGATGGAGAACCCCTGCTGAAACTCTTTGCTTTGTATTGGGCAAGTTCTGAGAGCTGCCTGGTTCTCTTGCTTTGGTTTTGGTTTTCATGATTGCTTCTCTGTCAAGGTTTTTTGCTTTTCCATAGGAATTTCAGCCTCGGTGAGTTCACTTTGCTATAGTGCCTGGTGGGCTTGCGGTTGGCATTATGTCAGATCCATAGATTAGTCTGGAGAGAACTGCTCTTGGAACATGGCTGAGATGGCTCCCAGGCCACACACATGGTATCTCTATGTACCCAGTTGCCATGATGTCAGATGTGTAGATGAGTCTGGAGAGAACTGTGCTTGGAATGGGGCTGAGATGGTGCTTAGGCCACACACATGGTGTCACTATGTACCCAGGCAGTTTTTTCTTTCAGCAGTGTTTTGTGGTTTTCAGAATAGATCTTGCACCTATTTTGTAACATGTATTCCCAAGCCTTAAGATTTTTGAGGATTTTGTACATAGAGTTTTTTAAAGTTTCATTTTTATATTTTGTGGTGCTAAGACATGAAAATCCAGGAGGCTTCTTTGTTGACTGTGTGGTCCTGCCAGGTGCTCAGCGCAGCCCCTGAAGTGATTGCTGTTTTTTGTTGGGAGGTTGGAGCAGTGGCGTTTGAAAGCGATTGACCTTAGTGTTTCCTCTTTTTTTGTGAGTTGCTCATGCGTCCCTTTGCATAATTAAGTCTAGATCATGACTCAACACTGTATTCAGCTAGGAACTTGGAAGTTTGGATGAATTCTATAAGTTGTGTAGAATTGAACCATTAAGCATGAAATATCCTCAGCACTGCGTGATGGCAGAATGTAGGATGGATTGGTGAGGCTGCAGAGTTTTTGGGAGCCCCCTGAACAAACCCACTTTTCCTTTGAAAAATCATTGGCTCAGGGGTCAGCACATTATCCTTGGCTGATTCTCATGGCTTAGGGTTGGTGGTAAGGGGTCCCAGGACACTCAGGCTCCCATGAGCCAGAGAGCAGGCCGAGGGGCTGGGCTGTGCAGAGCTAGTCTCTGTAGACGCTGTTCCTGCCCCACCAGTGGGCACAAAAGGGAATCCCACCTGGAGTTCTGGTTTCACCTGGGCTCCCCATGGCCCCTGCTGCCTCCTGCCTAGCTGCCTAAGGGCTCAGGACCCTCACTTTGTGTTGGCAGGCACCTCTGACATGGGGTCAAACCTGGCAGATCCCCTTACTCTTCCCAGTGCCAAGTCAATTCTGCCCCACCAGGAGGGCTCTGCAGGTGCAGGTTCGCTGACAAAGAATGATGCACTGTGTCCACTCAGCGGCGCATCCTCTTCACGGCATCCTGTCATACGGATACTCATGACCTGTGTTCTTTTGGAAGGAGTTTCGGACATGGCTGAGGGAGGAATGGGGGCGCACGCTGGAGGACATCTTCCATGAGCACATGCAGGAGCTCATCCTGATGAAGTTCATCTACACCAGTCAGTACGAGTGAGTGCGGCGGCCTCCTACTTGGTGCTGGGGTGGCCCCTTGCTGGTGGGTGTTAGGGCATAGTCCTCTCTCTCTCCCCCAGTGGGTGCTAGTATGCAGTCCTCTCTCCTGCTGGGGGCTGGGAGTGGGGCCCCTCTCTGTGGTACTGGGAGCATAGTTCTTTCTATGGATGTGAGGTTACAGTCTTCCCTCTCTCCCTGGGTGCTCAAACACAGCCTTTCTCTCTGTGGGTGCTAGGTCACAGTCTTCTCTCTTTGTAGTGCTGGGAGCACAGCCCTGTGTAGGTGCTGGGTGCATAGTCCCTCTCTCTGTGGGTGCTGTGACACAGTCCTCTCTCCTGATGGTGCTGGGAACACAGCCCTTTCCTGGTGGTTGCTGTGGTGCAGCCCCTTTCTCTCGGTACTAGGACCAGTCATCTCTCTCTGTCAGTGCTGGGAGTGCAGCCCTTTCTCTGTGGGTGGTGAGAGCATAGCTCTACAGGTGGAGCAGCATAGCCCCTCTCTCCTGGTGGTGCTGGGAGTACACGCTCTCTCTCTCTCTCTCTGAATGCTGGGAGTGCAGGCTTCCCTGAAGCTGCTGTGGCACAGCCCCAGACCCCTTCCTTCACCTGGGTGTCTGTTTTGTCTGATTTCTTGTCACCGCTGCCAACACTTGTGCTGTAGAGGGTGGCGCTGCCCAGCCCGGTGACTTGGGCTCTTTCCCCATGCGTAATGGAGCAAAAGGGGCACTTCCTTTCCCCTCCCATTTAAAGCTCTGCACTGGCACTGATGCCTCCCTTCCCCCCAGAAGCCCTGTTGGAAGCATGCAAGCAGGTGGGTGGGGGTGAGGGCTCCCTCAGGGGAGTTGCTGCCCACAGCTTGGTGGATGCCTGGCCCTGGTTGAGCTGAGCTGCCTGCCCTACCCTGCCCTGCCAAGCTTGGCCCTGGTGCCTTGTGCATCCGCAGTCCTGCTGCCTGGCCCTCCTGTGCTGACATGCTGCTCCCCACAGCAACTGCCTGACCTACCGCCGCATCTACCTGCCGCCAAGCCGCCCTGATGACCTCATCAAACCAGGCCTCTTCAAAGGCACCTATGGCAGCCACGGCCTGGAGATTGTGATGCTCAGCTTCCACGGCCGGCGTGCCAGGGGCACCAAGATCACGGTGAGTGGTGGCTGCCCTGGCCAACTGGGCTGTGGTCACGAAGTCGGGCAGACATAGATCCCTGGTGCCCTTGCTCCTTAGAATGGGCTTGTACTCATAGCCATGGGAGTTTGGGAATGCAGATTATAGGGCCCCAGCCAGCCCCACTGAACTAGAATCACATTTCTATGAAACCCTCAGGGAGTCTGTGTGCTTCCACACCAGCACTCAACTCTGGCCACCCTGGCAGCCCTGGGAAGTTGCAGTGGCATGGAGACCCTTGTACTTGCAGACAGTTCTGACCCTGTTGGGGCTTTGGCAGCTCCTCTTCTGAGAGTGACCTGTGGGCGGGCTGTGTGGTGAGCCCAACGGTATTGCTCTTCTCCTGGGGCTGTGAACAGGGCTGTTGTGAGCAGAGGATTCATTCCCCATGCCAGGGCTACCGGCACATGCTGCCTGCTTGCCCTGCATGGTTATTAGGGATCCTGGCAGATAGTGCCTGAAGGGGCAGAGCCTCTTCCTTGAGCCTCCAGGGATCAGGGCCACATCTGGCATGATGGGGCTTTCCCTGGACCCCAGTGTTTTGACTCCTAGACTCCTCATGGAGTTTCGGGGCTGAAGGATGTTCCTGGGGTTTGGCTCCTAAGCTGTGCCTTTCAGGCAGACAGATCTGGGCTGTCCCTTGAACTTCTCTGGGTGTGGCTGAGCCAGTGTGAGCCAGCTGCTGTCCTCAGGGGCACTTATAGGCGTCATTGGCCCCCACCACTTTCTAAGGGATTCTGAGACTTCTTCCTCTGTAAGGGATGCTGCTATGTCAGCAGGAGGGCTGGTGCCAGCTTGTTCAGCCACTGGGCTAGATACCACACAGTGGTGCTGCAGCTACTGGTCCTAGCCCTGCTGACCGCCACCTCCTCCACAGGGCGACCCCAACATCCCCGCCGGGCAGCAGACGGTAGAGATTGACCTGAGACACCAGATCCAACTGCCTGACCTCGAGAACCAGCGCAACTTCAACGAGCTGTCCCGCATCGTCCTGGAGGTGCGAGAGCGGGTACGCCAGGAGCAGCAGGAAGGCGGGTACGAGGCAGGCGAGGGGCATGGCCGACAGGGCCTCCGGGAGTCCCAGCCAAGTCCTGCTCAGCCCAGGGCAGAGGCACCCAGCAGGGGCCCAGACGGGACACCTGCTGAGGACGGCGGTGAACCTGGGGATGCCGCAGCTGCGGCCGAACAGCCTTCCCAGAGTGGGCAAGGGCAGCCATTTGTGCTGCCTGTGGGCGTGAGCTCCAGGAATGAAGACTACCCCCGAACCTGCAGGATGTGGTAAGGATGTGGTGGGCATTGGGGCCGGAGGGCAGGCCAGCATGGGTTTCAGTGAGGGCCCCAGGCCCACACATAGCATGGGCAGAGAGGGCCTGTGACCTCACAGAGGGTAGCAGCTGGGACTTTGGGACAAGAGTGGGGCTGGCCTCTGACCCCTTAGAGCACGTCCCTTAGCACCTGAGTAAGCGGCTGCACAGCTGTGTCCTGTCCTTCCACCCCTTCTAGGGGACCTCAGAGCTGCAGGCCACAAGGCCTCCTAATGCCCCACATCCCTGCAATAGTGCCGCTCCACTACTGGCTTCTAAATCTTCTTGTTTCCAGTCAATCAAGTGAAAGCAGATGGAAGTGTCCAAGAGCTTTGAAAGCCGGAAACAAAGTCCCCTTCACTACCCACCCACCCACCCACCCACTGTGTGGAAAGCCCACTTTGGTTTGCCTGGGTGTTGTCCTGAGTGGCATCTTTCTGGGCACCTTTGGCCATCTCCCCATGCATGCCATTCATATGTGGGTACTGCTTTCCTCCTCTCCCTCTTCCATTCCTGCCTGCCTCTGCTGGGCCAGGCCAGTGCCTGAGTGGCCAGTGGAGTGGACACCAGCTGAGACTGCATGGCAGGTGCTGGCACTGCCGCTGGCCCTGCAGGGCTTGGGCTGCTGACTTGGGATGAGGCCTGCACAGCCACCAGCTGCTGTCTTACTGACTTTTTTCACACAGTTGTCTGGGCCACTGCCTTCAGTGGCCCCGGTCCCCTTCCATTCAGGCTGCGCCTCATAGAGGAACAAGGCCCTTGCCCTGTATTCTTACCCTTTAGGGCTATTAAAGTTTAAATGAACTGAAATGGAATACAATGAAATATCCAGGCCCTCAGCCACCCAGGCCATGTTTCAAGTACTTCCTGGCCACATGTGGCCGGTGGACAGTGCAGCTCTAGAACTTTCCATCAGCACAGAGGGTTCTGCTGGACAGTGGCCTTGGGGATCATTTTGAGGGTCTGCCTGTCAGTCTCATGGCACCAAAGTCTTTCTGCCATTGTCACATTACGAGTTATTTTCCTTTTACCTGCGAGCCATGTCACCACGTGTCTGCATTTCCCACTAAACTTCCCATCATGCAGGGAAGTGCCACCAGCCCAGCTCCCAGATGGGGTTTGGATGTCTGGGTGGGGCTTTCTTCATGTTCACATGTGTAACGGTGACTGAGGAGTTTACAGAGAGGCATACAAATAGTGTCACAGTGTTGTTTTAGCTGGTGTAAATGTTTGAATAGCTATAAAAGGAAAAAGCTCTGCTACCCTTCAAAAATGTCAAAACTCCTAAAACCTCACAACCGGCTCAGAGCCAGTTTGCAGGTCACAGCATATGCTGTGGCCACTGGCCAGAGAGCCCTCCAGCCCCTCTTCCCAGCTAACCTGCAGGACAGTCCATCCCATGCTGAATACGGGAGCTCCTGGGCCTTCCCTGTCTGGTTTATGGGTCTGAAGGGCCTGGCCACAGCATCTGTACAGGGAATGCCTCTTGCTTTTTTGCGAGCACAGTGCTGATGACTATACCTGCCTCTTGGCCCTGGAGCTTCTCCCTCCACCTGAGAAGACCTCTGAGGCCCAGGCTCTGGTCCAAGGGGGTACTCACCCAGCAGGCCTTTGGAGCCTTTGTGGCTGGATGATTCTTGCCATCTGTTGGAAGAATTTAGCTGCTTGCAAGACAGCCATAAGTGTCTTCTCATTTGATGTTGACCTCAAAGCCATAAATGGGTGTTTGTGAGTTCTTCCCCCTGAGTGAATGTCAGCTGCAGGGTATCTGTATTATATCTCATTGTTTCTATGGGGACATAACTCCCAGAAATGAAGATTTTTTTTCATGTTGGGCCTGGTATGAAATGTGTGTTTTGGAATAGAGCTCTGTGGGCCTGCAGAGACCTCGTTTTAGTTTGGTAAGGCAGCACAGTGTGCGGTCAGTGAGTGAATCCCTCTCACAGATGCTGCTTGTCAGTGCCCATACCCCAAGCAGCCCAGAGGTCTGGCCTCTGCATCCATGATTCGGTGGGCTCGACCTGTGCCCTTAGCTACCCCTGCAGAGGCAGGCTCAGCACACACCCCCAGCTACCCTTACAGAGTTTCAGCCCGCACCCCCAGCTACCCTTACAGAGTTTCAGCCCGCACCCCCAGCTGCCCCTGTAGAGACAGGCTGGCTCTGGGAGTCAGCTTGTTGCTGATGAATAGTGGATCTGGCATGGAGGGGCATCCCAGAATGCCAGACTTAAGTTGCACTTGACTCAGCCCTCCCCCAACTCACACTTACCCTCTTGTCTCTGTTCAGTTTTTACGGCACAGGCCTCATCGCGGGCCATGGCTTCACCAGCCCTGAACGCACTCCTGGGGTCTTCATCCTCTTCGACGAGGACCGCTTCGGGTTCGTCTGGCTGGAGCTGAAATCCTTCAGCCTGTACAGCAGGGTCCAGGCCACCTTCCGGAATGCAGATGCGCCATCCCCACAGGCCTTTGACGAAATGCTCAAGAACATTCAGTCCCTCACCTCCTGACCAGCCACATCCTGGGTAGCTTTGGGGCTCTGGACTCTGACCTGTGAATAGAAGCAGCATGCACTTTGGAAATACAGCCTTTTGACCAGAACGCACACCTCGTTGGGGGTCCCCGCCCAGCCACACCCCAGCACTTTATGTAGAGAGAGTGACAGACCTGTATATTTGTCAGTGCCGTGATGGAGGAAGCTGAGCATGTCTTACCAAAAAAGAGAATGAGCTGGAATACAGTGGATCTAGGGGGCCAGCTGCGGGACTGTGTGAGAATTGAAGAGGTGGAGTTGCCACACCCTGGGCTGGCTGGCGGTTTTCTCGGGAAACAGGACTCTCCTCTGGCCAACTTTTCCCGTGAGCGGATAGAATGATAGAATGGGTCGTGTATGAGACACATGTGCTCTACCCCCACTCCTGCTGGGGGGAGCCAGGCAGAAGTGGCCTCCGGGGAGGGGATCAGGAAGAGAACACTCAGGCAGTGCAGGTGTGATGGGCACAGCATGTGGAGGGCAAGCTTGGGAAGCTGGTGGGATCTCAGGGTTGGGGGTGGACTCTGGATTGAATCTCATCTCTCTCCCGGCTCAGTCGAGTTTGGACAGAAGCATTTCACCTGATTTCAGTTTCCTCACCTGTGGAGTGGTGTAGTGACCTGAGTCACTGGAGAATGTCAATGTGAGCGCACAGCCCGGCCAACACACCTGCCCCGGCCCCTCTTCTCCAGTTTTGGAGCCGAGGCCATCGTTCCAGCCACTTGACCATCCTCGTCAGCCTGTTCCAGACAGGGCGTTTTGTCCTTGCTTTCCTCCATGCACGCACGCGTTGTCGAAACCAAGCTGCCAGCCATTTTCTCCAGAACACAAGGCTCCAGGCTCACATTTCTGAAGCAGTCCTTGCATTTCTCTCCTGTGAGTGGTTCCCTCAGGTGCCAGGAGTGCTCATACGAGATGATGAGGAAAGCCCTTTGCAGTTGAGGGGGCAGTTTTCTTGAAAAGCCACACCTATGTCTGGGGACACATTTTATAAAGCAGGACCCCCTGAGTACCCTTCAGCTTGGAGACCCCATGCACTGATGCCTCCACTGCTGTGTTAACACCTCCGTGTGGGGACCCCATCGAAAATCTTGGCTGAGGTTGGCATCTCTTGAAGAACAGGGAGCACGGTGCCCTAGGCCGGCTGTTGCCCTAGCCCGCAGCCAGCTCCGTGCCCGAGTCCCTTTCTGCCACTAGTCCTTGTGCTGGGTGCCCTGGACATGTCCTACTGGTGAGGGACCTTGGGAAGGTAACAGTCTGTGTGCCTTTGTCTAGAGACCAACCTGAGAATATCCTGGGAAACATTTTCCTGATGAACTTCTGACTGGCCTTTAAAAAAAACAAAAATCCCACTGCCCAGCCTCAGTGCATTTGGCAAATTCTTACTTTGCTTCCCAGAATCAGAAAATTGGCAAGGTCCTTAAATGGTAATCTGGCCCGCCTGGGAAAAAGACTCGGGAGAAAAGCCAGCGGAGAAGGAGAAGGTGGCAGTAGGGCTGCCCACCCAGGAGCCATGCAGATCCCGAGGCGCACCTGCCGCCTCCGTGTGGCCAGTTTCTAGCAGCTTTTGCAGCATTAGCCTACACGCTTTGTCACTCCTTGCCCTCTGTGGTGGTCACTATTTTTCTCTCATGCCAAATGATGCAGTCCCTGAGGGATGGTGACTCGTGGCCCTGAAGCCTCGGGGAACCTCGGACATGTAGACTGGCACCCTTCAGGGTTCACCATTGTTTCAATAAAATCAAGAAAATGCATTTTTACCAAGAGCCTGAGGCTTGCTCTAAGGGACCCAGTCCATCAGAGGCATGCCCTTTGGGGCTTAAAGAGCACACTGGTGGGAGACGAGCACTTCTGATTAAAGGAATCTCAAATCTCAACTATGCTTCCAGTGTTTGGGTGCATAAATGGTTTCCACTCAGAATGTCTTTAAATAGCCATGGGCTGTAAGTCAGTTCATGTGGCTTCTGGTTCTGGTGTGTGTGTTGCAGGGGTTTGTCCATGGTGGTGACCTGTGGTGATGCCAGGCAGGGCTGGAGCCATGCAGTCTGGAAGGGGAGGCCTTCTTGGCCGCACAGCCAATCCCTCCCAGTCATTACTATAGGTCTTGTTTTTTCCACTATGCTGTGTCCTTAGCCAGTTCTTCCCTCCGGTTCTGTAGGGACAGGCACAGAGTCTGTGCACCTCCAAACACGGCAGCTTCGCTTACTGGGGAAAGCATCCACCCTCTGAGAGGAACCTGCAGTTGGTCCATTCCCTGCAGGGAGGACTTGGAAGGGCTGATGTCATCATCAGAGGCCTAAGGGCAGCTGAGATTTAGATAAAACTGTTTTTAAGGAGGCTGAGAAACCCAGTTTGGGATAGCCAAGCACATTGGAGCTTGACTGGGAAGGTGGCCGGTGGAGCTGGGAGGTTGGTGCTCTCCATCTTTTGCCCCACAGATGCTTGTCCTCGCCATCTCACTCCTCTGGGGCAGGATCGAGTCTGCTGTCCGGATTGAATGTGGCTGCCTGCAGTGCACCTGAATGTGCTTTTTGTCACTCATTTGGAAATGATGTGATTGAAGATTTCAGACCGGTCACTGGGGACTTTCCTGTACCAGCACTGAATGTTTGCATGAGGAAGCTGCAAACAACATCTGTAGGCTGAGATTTAGGGCAGATGGTATTGGAGTCCCTCAGCCCATCTGACCTGGGCCCTGACCTCAGGGTCAGCTGCTGAATGTAAGTGGCTTTGTAGGCCTGGTGGTGGGAGAGCCTCAGGCTCCCTTCTTTCTCATTCCTGACCATGCCCTGGGCCCCTTCAGCCTGGCTGTGGCTCTGTGGCATCCCTGCCCTGACACTGGCACCTGTGTCCCTAGCAAGCCCACCTGGCACCCGAGTAGGGAGGGGTTGGCGGTCTTGGCTTTCCTCTAGCCACATGCCCTGCTGGCCACTCCATTCCCAGCTTTGTGCAGAACCAGGTGAAAACTGGAGTTTTTTTTTTTTTTTGTTGAGAACTTGGGAGTTGTGTTGCAGCCATATGTGAGGGCCTTCCAGCTGCTGGCTCTGACTTCCCTGACTCCCAGGCTTTCTCGCCCCCACATGGTTAGGCCATTTGCAGTGCTTGTGGGCAGTCATGGAGAGCAGCAGAACCTCCTCAGCCCCTTCCTTACTTCAGAACGCCCATCCACGTGCATCTCCTGAGCTCCTGTTGTCCTCCTCATGGCTGTGGGGGGTCTCGAGTGTGAACAGGAGACACCGAGCTGCGGTCCACCTTCCAAGGCTCTGCTGAAAGCTGCTAGGCTCTTTTAGGATCTTTATATTCTGGTTGCTACCTTCATGGTATAACTTTTAAGAATGCTTATGAGAATGGGCTCATAGAACTGCCACCTGCCCTGAGAATAGAACTCTTTGAATCATGATGAAGTCCAGTGTTAACATACACTGACCTGTCTTTGCTTCCGGGGAGAGATCAGGAACATCACTTGAATACACATCCTCAGCATTTTTCCTATTTTTTTGAGATGGAGTTTCGCTCTTGTTGCCCACGCTGGAGTGCACTGGCGTGATCTTGGCTCACTGTAACCTCTGCCTTCCTGCCTCAGCCTCCTGAGTAGCTGGGATTACACGCATGTGCCACCATGCCCGCATAATTTCTCCATGTTGGTCAGGCTGGTCTTGAACTCCCAACTTCAGGTGATCTGCCTGCCTCGGCCTCCCACAGAGCTGGGATTACAGGCGTGAGCTGCTGCACCCACCCCAGAATATTTAGAGAAGAAAGCAGATGATGATTTCCGTTTGGCTGATACTTTGAGACAGGTTCTCACTCTGTTACCTGGGCTGGAGTGCAGTGGCACGATCATGGCTTACTGAGGTCTCAACCTCCTAGGCTGAAGCAATCTACTCGCCTTAGCCTCCCAAGAAGCTGAGACCAGAGGCACCCATCACCATGCCCAGCTATTAATTTGTTTTTGTAGAGATGGGGTTTTGCCATGTTGCTCAGGCTGGTCTTGAACTTCTGGGTTCAAGCAATTCACCCGCCTCAGCCTCCCAAAGTGCTGTGATTACAGGCGTGAGCCACTGCACCCAGCCTTGGTCTGTACTTTGAATGGGAATGAGATTGTGCAAACCGTGGAATACCCTGTGTCACCCACAGCTCAGTGGCCTGCACGCCAGGAGACCAGCCAGAGCACATGAGGTCAGAGCCGTGTGGGTTTTGGGCTGATTCTGTATTTGGTTGTTCCTGGAGGTGACATAACCTGCCTGCAGAAGGAAAGTGCTGTGTCATCTGATCATGAGCCCCTTTGCTAGTAAGGTGACCTTGTAGCAGGAGCTGTGCTCTGCCTGGGCAGGCGCCCACTAGGCAGGACCGGAGCAAGCCCAGCAGCTGCCACCTGCACCCATGCACTTGTATTTCTCCTCACTATTTTAAGTAAGTCTGTTTTTCAAGTCCTGTGTGTTTTGTAATTTGTTTCTTTGGGAATATGATTCATATGGAGGCAGAGCCCTAAGCCACGCATGCTGTCAGTCCGGGAGCCCAGACTTCCCAGCCTCTTTGCAAATTGTCCAATTTCCCGCACTGACAGAAGGGAGCACTGAAGGGATGCCTTGGAACCCAGACAGTGGTTTTCCCTGTGTCCTTCCCTTTTTGACCTGGCATCAGAAGGGAGGACCCCATTCCCTACCAAGGGACCCAAAGGGAGTGGGGGCCCCAGTGGGCTTTCTTAGATTTAAGCCGAAGTGAGTTGCATTATCTGAAACCAGGATAAGAACAGGACACACATGGGAGGGACTGTGCTCGGAGCCATGCAGATGAACTGAGGCTCTCATAGATCGACCTTTTCTGCTTTCTAAAGTAATATGTTATTAGCCGGGAGCGGTGGCTCAAGCCTGTAATCCCAGCACTTTGGGAGGCCGAGGCGGGTGGATCACGAGGTCAAGAGATCGAGACCATCCTGGTCAACATGGTGAAACCCCGTCTCTACTAAAAATACAAAAAATTAGCTGGGCATGGTGGCACGTGCCTGTAATCCCAGCTACTCAGGAGGCTGAGGCAGGTGAATTGCCTGAATCCAGGAGGCGGAGGTTGCGGTGAGCCGAGATCACGCCATTGCACTCCAGCCTGGGTAACAAGAGCGAAACTCTGTCTCAAAAAAAAAAAAAAAAAAAAAAAAAAAAAAAAAAGGTAGCATGTTATTGTAAACAGTTCAAATCTTTAGAATAGACAGTGAAAGTACCTCCTGTTCTCATCCCAGCCTCCCCGTGAGTCACTGCTGCTAATTAATGCTGTTAGCTTGGAATTGAGAGAAAGGATGTTTTCATGGAAATGCACTCAAAGTACACCATCGACTGGCAGAAATTGGCAAGTATGAGTTTCCAAATGTTGGCAGTGATGCAGGGGAACAAACGCAGGTGGGGCAGCTGTTTGGGGACAGCTCAGCACCAGCTCATGGCACTAAGAACATGGGCCCAGGAACTGGCAACTGCATCCTGAGGTGTCTACCTTGGGGAAACAAAAGAGCCCAGATGTGGGCCACACAGGGATGTTCACTGCTACACTGTGACCACAGTCAGTGGCTGGAAGATGGGTGGACTATGGTGGAGCCACCCTTGGTGTCACATGGCAGGTGGACACAGCCTTGTTCCATTGCAAAATGAGTAAAGTGAGAGATGGTTTATTTGTGTAACATGTAAAAATGCAAATACTTAATTTTTGTTAACTGATGTGGTGAAAAGCTGAAAATAGTGTGGGAATGGTATGGTCACATTTAGGGGTGTTAAAGGGCAGAACCTCAACTCTGTTTCGCTTTTAAAAATGAGGCTCGTATGGCAGAACTAGCATCTGTTTGCCTGTTGATCCTGACACCACTGATTATGAGATCTCCCTCTTTTCTGCGTGGTTCAGAGACCAGCTCCTCAGGCAGCACACAGTGCCGGGAACAGTGACCTGCAGGACCACTCACTGCCATCCCCGCTGGCCTGCCAGCTGTCGCTGCTTCCTGGGCACTGAGCACTTTCCTGGGAGAGTAGGGGATCATGGGTCCCTGGTGGTGGGCACTTCCTTCTCCGGGAAGAGTAGCGGGTCATGGGTCCCTGGCGATGGGCGCTTCATTCTCCGGAGAGAGCAGCGGGTTGTGGGCACTTCCTTCTCCAGGGAGAGCAGGGGATCATTGATCCCTAGCGGTGGGCGCTTCCTTCTCCAGGGAGAGCAAGGGATATTCATCCCTGGCGGTGGGTACTTCCTTCTCCGGGGAGAGCAGGGATCTTGGGTCCCTTGGCCTACAGTGCTGCTTTCTCTACTCACAGGTTTGCTGTTGTTTCCAGGCCTTTCTTTGGGGCCTGGGTCCTAGCCATGGGGTCATCCTCAGCTGCGTGGGCTGTGCCATCCACATAAGAATCACTTGCTACAAGCAGAACCACACAACCTCCTGTCTGGACAAGACCCTGCACCCCGCAGACTGAAGATGCACCCCGATTTCCCAGGTCACACAGGGAAGTATGGATCTGATAATAGACTAAGTGCAACATCTTTAACACATCTCGTGTGTTTTATTTTAAAATGAAAAATCTCAAGTCATGGGGAAGGAGTAAAACACTGCTGCCTGCTATAGTTCCCCTCTTGCTCCGAGGGCATGGACAGCCCAGATGGGGGGACCTGCTCCTGGCCTGGGTGCCAGAGCCTCACCTAGACGCAAGAGCACAGGCTTTGTTCTCCAGGGATCTGTCCAACACCAGCATCACCCCAGGGGCTTGGGCCCTCGGCTTTTTTCTCTGCTGCTGGGGCTGAGGGGACAGCAGATAGGCAGCGAGGCCAGTGGCTGCCCAGGCTGGCCATGTCCAACACCAGAGGGTGAGGCAGGGTCTGAAAGGGAGTGGTGGCTGGGTTACCTGGTCCCAGA